GTCGGACAGAATCCCCAAAGCCATTTTGGACATCTATGCGACAATTGTATCCAGAATTTGCGGTTCTCGGTCGGTCCGGATCTCCATTGTCGTACCCGCAAGTTGACAGTTCGGTCACGGTTGCCCTCTTCTGCAAAAGACGAGTGGCGTTCGCAGCAGAACCCGAATTTTCAGAAAGGGTGGCCGTCACGGCATAGGTTTGGTGAAAAGGTTTGAAGCCAGAGCATCTTGCAAGTACGTTGAGAAACATGAAAACAAACACGACGCGATCCATAACTCGGTTCATCGTCTGGCGACAGCTCGAGGATGGACCACAAGATCAAGAACCATCCAAGACTTTCTGCAGCAGACAGCACAGGTCAAAAAGGAGGCGGGCTAACCACGTCCCTGTTCGAAAGGAGGACATTTGATACCCACTCCTCACGCAGAAGGCGTTGGGTCTAGGTCCCTTGCACTATCCTCGGCTCGCCACCTACTATCCATCACCAACCGAGCCGTGAAAGCAATCACCGACACAAGATCAAGAATCCTATACAGCCCAGAGAGCTGAAGCCGCATCAGTATTTTCAATGTTTCTTTCACCAATATAGTAGATGACATGTCTAGACAATATAGAGAGAGACTGCGAGCTTTGGGGGCTTCACAAGAGAAGTCTGACAGATGTTGGGACGATGTATGAGAGTCAGTGTTTTCCTCACCATGTTAACCGTTGGCACTCAATCTGCAAGAGACAATAGTGCTATCCTTGGCACACTGCCTGTGGGCTGTTCAAGCATTGCGGCGTCTATCGTAAAACCTGGATTGGCCAGATAAGAAGCGTTCCGTGGATTTGGTAAATCAAGCGCCAGGGTTGTGCTGCACCAGGATGGGCTCCGCACCTCGCCATCAAACACACTTCCTCAGACAACTTTTCATGAAGCCTCTGGAATGTGGCCATTGACTGATGGATTCGTTTGTTGCATTCATCCGCAGGACTCTGTCACTAAAGCTGTTTCTTTTGAAATGCATCAATCTGGACGAAGATAGGTAATCCTGATCGTATATCGAACCATTGATCTCGACGCCTGGGTCATGCTGGTGCTGCTGTTGCTCAAATCATCACAGCGTTCCGTTCGTTGGCGCTAATTCTCCTGTCACAGTGCGGATGCAACCTCGACAGGCTGCCAGTCGGACAAACCTGTGGGTTGTGCCCCCTGAATTTACCTAGGCCACCCAGCACCCAACGGCTGGCTGCCCATGAAGTCAAAATAGGTAGAATTCACAGGCGCATCATGTTTTTGTTCTCCTACGTAGCAGCCCGGTGCGTTTTTGATCATACCTTCCTTTCTTCACTGATTTCGGTCATGCCCGGGCGTCAAATCCATCCGTCGTCATGCACCACGACCGCCGGTTCCTGCTCTTGATCGTGCCAGTGGTGATCTTTTTGTTGTTAGCAGCAAGCCTTTACCTCGGCAGTGATCACCTGACGCTCATCTCTGGCCTCCATGTTCCGTTCCTGAGTCACTGGCAGCCGGAAAATCAACCTGAAAGCATCACATCATCAAGTCTCCCAGACAGTGATGCCACATTTACGTCTCTCCCCGTACCGAGCAGTACAGTGCTGCCACCGGCACGAGTAGATAATGGTTCGTGAACTTGGCCTTGCTCATCAGTTGTTTGAGAAGATGCAATCTGACAGTGCCACAGGAACGGTTCTTACAGCAGAGAAGATCCGACCCTACATAGACTCCATTCTCGACCCCGAGTCAACGGCTCTGCCGCGCTTGGGGTGCCCCCGCGTGAATAGCACGCGATATGATATCGTGAGAAACATGAGCGAAGCAAATGACAACCACGTCGATTACTACTTCGCTTTAGACTTGCGCAACTGCCGCGACCTCCTGCCGCGGCTTCTAGGTAGCATCGTCGAGGTGATGCGCTTCCTCGGACCAGACCGATGCGCCCTGTCGATCGTCGAAGGGCATTCTCCTGACGGAACGGCAGACATCTTAGCGGCATTGGCACCTTTCCTGCGACGAGACGGCTTCTCTTACCACTATCAGTCTTCGGACATCAATCCAGGGACAGGCTCAAGGATCCTGAAGCTCGCCAAACTGCGGAACCTGGCGCTGGAACCTCTGCTGAACCACACCTATCGCACATCGGCCAACACGACGGTTCTTTTCATCAACGACGTGGCCGCATGCGCTGAGGACCTCCTCGAACTGGCGCTTCAGCGACGAAAACTAGACGCCGACATGACTTGCGCACTGGACTGGACATATGTCGGCCGCGATCCCACATTCTACGACGTCTGGGTCGCACGCGGCATCAATGGGGACTCTTTCTTCAACATCCCTCCTAACGGAAGCTGGGACTACGCGTGGAACCTGTTCTGGAACCACCCGCAGACCAAGGCACGCCTGGATTCCAATGTCCCTTTCCAGGCGTTTGCCTGCTGGAACGGCGCCACGGCCTTCACAGCTGCGCCTCTCCTCGACGGCCTGCGGTTCCGCAACGTTCACAAGGGGGAATGTGCTCAAGGCGAGCCGCAAATGTTCTGCAAGGACCTCTGGCACAGAGGCTTTGGCAAAATCGCTGTGGTGCCAGCCGTCAATCTGGAGTATTCAGACGAAAAGGCCGAGAAGCTGAAGAAGCTGAAGGGCTTCACCTCCGATCTCGTCAGACACCAGACCGAAGAGGACGCCAAGATTGAGTGGGCCGGGCCACCAGAGAAGGTGAAGTGCATGGAGGGTTGGCAGAACCAGTTTTGGCGACCGTGGAACGAGACATTGAAGTGATAAGACGGATGAATGATGTATAAAAAAATCGATGGATGTAATGCCAATTCGTGCGACAAAAACCGAATCGCGCACACCACATGCCTCGTGGTGAACGTGATCTCCGATGGCAAGCCATGACTCCACGCGACCGAGACCGGCCCGGTCCTAGGACCGGAAAGGGGGCCCGGCGCTATGACCGGAGGGGGATGAATCATACCTTTCCACGCCCTATGCAAACACACGATTGAGGGGTCGGAGGGGTCAGCGATATAAAGAGGCTTCGATGAAGTCTCCCTCACCTCACCTGGACAGTCTGATTTTCTCGCGAAAACCGGCAATTGTCGTGCTTCCAGTCAGCCCAAGGTCGTTGCGCTTGGTCTAAGGTGTGCGCAGGAATTACCCACCCAATGGCGACAGAACTTCAGACCTTCCACAGTCCGAGGGAGGCCTCGGCTGGAGCCGATGTTGAGGAAGCCGAATCTCTCGTTCCGACTCTCCCTTCTTCCGATAGGGGAGCGCCAGCCTTGAAATTCCTCTTCGGAGCCTTCGTGATTGAGGCTTTGCTCTGGGGTGCGTTCCCCCTGGCTCGATTTGCTACAGCCGCCTTTTCCCATGTTTTTCTGTTTGTCTAATCCATCTGCTCGTCCGCAGGCTTCCCACTCTCATATGGTGTGTTCCAGGAGTATTATGCCAAACACCCAAACTTCGAGGATGAGCATGACAAGATCGCCGTCGTCGGTACCTTGGCCACTAGCATATACTTTTTGGGGGCACCCCTCGTGACACCTCTCGTCAAGCGTTTCCAGCACTGGCAGAGACACATGATCATTTGTGGCTTTCTCTGTTGCATTGCATCGCTCGTTGGCGCCTCCTTTGCCACTTCCGTTTCGGGTCTCATCGCCACTCAGGGCGTGTTGTACGGACTGGGCTTTACTCTTCTCTACTTCCCCGTCTTGCGCATGCTCAACGAATGGTTTGTCACAAGGAGAGGCCTGGCATACGGTGTCATGTTCGCTGGTGGCGGCTTCAGCGGCGTCGGCTTCCCGTTCCTCCTCCAAGTCCTTCTGACCAAATACGGCTACCAAACCACGTTGCGGGCCGTGGCTGTGGGACTGTTCATCGCCGTCCTCCCAGTCCTCCCAGTGCTCAAGGGGCGCCTGCCGGTCTCGCATCACGGCGCTCTACGTGGTATCGATGTCAGCTTCTTCAAGCAGCCGTTGTTCTACGTCTTTGCCTTCTCCAACGTCGTCCAGGGCCTGGGTTACTATATCCCAGGCCTGTACTTGCCGACCTACGCGTCTAGCATCGGACTCTCAGGAACAATGGGTGCGCTGATCCTGTCGGCCCATAACCTCGCAACTACGTTCGGACAGGTCGCCATGGGCTACCTCTCGGATCGAGTCCACAATGTTCTCGGTCTTGTCTTCGTATCCACCTTCGTCTCAGCGCTGGCGAGCTTCCTCATCTGGGGCTTTGCCGCCAACCTTGGAACGCTACTTGCCTTCGCCTTGGTGTATGGCTGGTTTGCAGGCAGCTTCGTCATCCTGTGGCCGAAGTTTGGATCGATCATGTCGGATGACCCAGGACCTGTCTACAGCATGATGGCTTTTGGAAAGGGCATCGGCAATATCCTGACGGGCCCGATCAGCGCGCCGCTGATGAGTGGGCCTGTCGAAGCCGGGTATGGACTGAACAAATTTGAGCCGCTCATTCTGTACCTCGGATCCATGATGCTGCTATCTTCTCTGGGCATCGCAGGCTGGCCTGTTCGTGTACGGTAGGCGAGCCATACCTCGCTGTCTTGTCGGGGTTAGATATCTCCCGCGACGGCGTTGATCAGGAGCATGGAGATCGACTGCGAGCGTCCGGACTAGTTGATCTCTGAGCAGAGAAGGGAGAATGCAGCAAAACGAGGGTGGGTTGGCAGGTTAATAGAGAAACTCTAGACAAGCAAACATTGTACTTTGTGCCACTTCTCTCCCTTCACAGAAGCCACAACTGTGTTGTGGCCGTGATAAGACCTGGGTCAGGGTGATACGCATTGTCAGAACACCAGGGGTAGGACTGTATGATGTCCCTAAGGCGGTACCGTAGATGGTGGAATCTAAGTTTTGAATTCAATTCTAGAAAGCCCTGCGACCTGCCGTACATGGCCGGAATATGAAATGGCAGGGCACGTGATCAATCCGGGCGTTCCTGCTCAAATGCACCCAAACCAAGATCAAGTCAGCATCGGCAGTGAAAGACGCAACGAGGTTGCACCTGCCTAAGCATGCCAGACCGCCTTGCCTCCTCGTGGTTTTGCAAGCCGGGGCAATTCTGCTTCTTGAATTGAAGTTTCGTAGCCAAAGGGGCGAGCAAAATCAAGCCTCACACTCACTCGCTTTTTTCCACCCACCCTTCGCTACATCTCGCGGACTCGCTCGACCATTCTCGGTACCAAGGCATCAGAATAGGACGGACAGACAGGCAACCAGTTGGTCGGCAACATCAACACTACCAGCACCAGCGCATGCGGCAGTGGCTTGTCGCACCCTTGGCAGCGCCATTGGGCGTGAGGGGGTGCGCCCACTCGACCCCTGCGGAAGATCACTTGGATCACCACACTGGCGACTTGCTTCGCCTGGAAAGCCCCCGAAAATCTCCCCGGCGACCAAGCGCAAACCGCTGCATGCTGCATTCCTACCCCCCCTCGATTGCTAATCCGTTACCTGTTCCTGAGTGTCTGTCGCTCGCTGGTCTCATTTTGTCGTCTGGCCGGCACAAATAACATCTGCTTTCGTGGACGGGATTTCACGCGGCCCAGAATGCGCCGCAGACGTGAGCGGAGAGAACATCTATTCTAGTCCCGGCGACTCGTTCTCAACCCCAATTCAAGGGTCCTCCATACGATGGGGTGTCTCCCTCTTGGCAGTACTGGCACCGGCAACGACACCGAAATGGTGTTCGCACGTGGATCACATCAGGGTGACAAGATGGGGTCAAACACGAGCGACCAGCAAAAAGCAACCAGGGCGTGGCCTGTCCGCGCCGTTTCGTATCCGTATAGCAGCTGACATGTCTCCCGATTAGCTCTTCAACACAAATCCCGAGGACTCGTCATCAGTAAAGCTTTACAAAATCTCCGCTTGAGAATAGCATCAATTGGAAACACAGCCCAGAGGGCGGGCGCTGCCAAGGGTCCCTCCTAACTGATGAGGGCAAGCGCCTGAACATACGACACCAACATTCCGAGCGGGCAAGGCAAGGTGGGAGGGGGCTACAATCAACAACCCAGCAACGGTCGACATACCATACCAAGCGCCGCCAGCTGCCCCTCCCATCTCCCTTCGACATCATCGGTGGATGTGATCGATCGCATCATCGGCCTGTGCTCCCCAAGCCCAGCACAAGCCAGACCGGCAGACAGCTGGCTGACAGGTCAAACACCACCCGAAAGCCTAAAAGGTAGCCCAAAGACGACCCCTCGCCAGGGCCAAGGAACGGCTCAGTCTTGTCTCATTGGCGACTGCACTACGGCGCGCTGGTCTCAGCCAGGGAACCCCCGCCGCTCCGTGTTCCATTGGCTGCATGCAGACGGGGTCGAAAACAGGATGCCAATCCATAGCATCATCTCTGCATCAGACCAGGCTGCCAGCTTTCTCCCCCAATTCCCATCCAAGCCCTTCAAGCCCGTACCATCTTTCGATCCCGGAATGCCTGTCCGCCACCCCTGGTCCTAGTACTGACTGTTAGCGTCTTGCCTGTCGTCTCCGTCTCCTCCTCGACCTTCCCGGTCCTGGTCCTAGTCCTGATCCTGTCTGGTCTTGGTGTCACTGGCGGACTTTCCAAGCTTCCTCGAGACATTTCTGCCAGACACTAGATAGACTTCCAAGCTCCCACGCCATCGACGTCTTGGATGTGACCTTCCCTTCATCTTTGTGCTCAATCCTTCAATACCCAGACCACACCATCTTCCGCCTACCGTGAACCTTACATCGTGCATCAACATCAGCCGCCCCCCTTTCTATGCCACTCAGCTTCTATTAAGCGCTGACGGCCCACACCCCTCGTCTGTTGCTCTCCTGTCATGGAGCGATGATTCATGGCCTGAGCCTTTTCCCTTGAGCTCATCGGCCATCTGGGCCTGACCAGGCCGAGATCAGCATCTGCTGAGGCAGCAGTAGCATTACAACTCGAATCTTCACGCCGTCTGCAGCCCATCTGGGATCGTCAACATGGAGTCTGTTGTCGCCAGCCGACCAAACCTCCCCGCTCTGCACACTGGCAATCACGACCACCATGGCCACCATGGCCATGCCCGTAGCAATTCCGATTACTCGGGCTCTGCCCCGCCTGCTTTCGCGGCGAAGAAGCGCGGCAGCTTCCTGTCAAAGACCTTCAAGAGCTTCAGCAGCCTGTCGTCTCTCGAATTGACGGCCGAGGAGGCTCCATCGGGGTCACAGACACCCCCGCGTCGAGTTCTCACGAAAACCCCCACTCGCAGCTCCTCCATCTTCCATCGCATCAGTCGCCGACCCTCCAAAGACTCGACTGCGAGCTCCCATACATCGGAAACTTCAGGCAAGCTAGCAACAATGAAGGTTATCAGGCATGGTCCTCTCAAAACCGATGCCAAGCTTTGGAAGTCGCGCGCCGAGTATGTCGTGTTGACTGAGACGTGCCTGCTCAAGTTCAACAGTATAGACGCTGCGAGAGCAACATTTGTTGACATAGGAGGACAGACGAACAGATTGAGCAGGGCGTCGACGACAGCTTCTCTCGGACAAGACACAACATCCGCCGAGCCAAGCCTTCAGATTCCCTTGCGTCGCATCATAAACATTTTCAATGAGGAAGGCTCAAGTCCTCATTTCGGCCTCGATGTCTGGTGGTCTGAAGCACCTCCCGCGGTCTCCTGGGCGAACAACAAACTGTTTTTCGGAATGCCCCAAGAGAGGAACGAATGGATGGCTGAAATACGCCAGGCCATCAGGGAATTCGTGGGCAGGTCCTCTGTGCCCGGAGGCATCGTGGCGGCCAATGTCGAGGCAAGGATATACAACCTCGTAGCGGCCGAAGAGCCCATGTGCCAGGGCTATCCTCTGGATATATTTCCTGTGGTCCAGAGGACCTTCCAACCTCGAGCCAAGGCTGGTGACTCCGACGCTGCGAAGAAGCTGCGTGATGCGTCCTCGTACTACCTCTTGCTAGGTCTGAACAAGTGCTACCTGGTTCGCGTTTCCAAAACTTCAGCGTACAAAGCCCCGCAAGATCTGGAGATCAACACGGTGGTGTTTGGCATCACATCACTCGTGCGTCTCAAGGCAACCATGGTTCCCCACGAGGAACGCTTCGTGCTGGGGTTTAGGTAAGTGAACACAACACTGCACCACGGCACCGACTGTACTGACAGGTCAAGGATGCCCTGCGAACCCGAAAAGCGCTTGGAGCTCGCTAGTCGCTGGTACCGGGAGATTGTCATGACCTTCATGAAGGCCGATCGAGCAGTCAAACCAGCCTGGCCCCAACACTTACAGAATGACATCTTTGAGATCAAGGGCTTGACAGCGCAGCTTCATCTACCCGCTGGCCAGGATTTCGGCGGCCTGAAGAGGACGCTCGAGGCCTATTGCGCGACTTACGGATGCCACGTTCCGGATTGGACAGCAAACTGGAAATGTGAGAGGCGAGAAAACAGTCCTGAGTTCCGCCTGCTTCCTTCAAGCTCTCCGGAGGGGTACTCGGCCTTCCAGCTCCTCGCCGTATTCAGAGCGCTCCGGTACAATGATTACTTCAGGTCACTGTCGTTCAGAGACGTAGACTTCAGTCCCATGTGTGGACGATACGACCTGGTCCACTACGATGACTCCATCGCTGATGTTTCTCGCAATGGTAAGTGCCCGAGAAATCTCGCTCCGCTGTCAATCTGACGCCCGTCTAGGCTACGTAATCGATAGTGTCCATCGAGAGATCCTGCGAAGCTCACCGATGCTCTTCCAGGAGCTTCACGCTGTTGCGTTCACCTCTGGTTCCATCAGGAGCATCGATCTGACGAATGTCCTCGCCCCGCGACGCATTGCCTCGGCGAACTCTCGAGCCCGATCTGTGCCTTCGTCCGGCTCAAATGAGCTGCCAGAAGTGGCGCGACCAATTCTGTTACTACTAAGAACCCAGAATATTACCCTCGATACTCTCATCCTTGGTGGCAACCCTCTAACCCAGGGCGAAGTAGACGAGCTGGGTATGTTCTTTGAATCAAGGAATCAAAGGAAAGGCCCTATCTGACGCACATTATAGTGACAGTGCTCAACATGCCCGACACTTTCAGACACCTCGATGTCTCACGATGCAGCCTTGACGAACGTAGTCTTGAAGAGATATGGGACGCGCTCCCGGAACAAAGCTACAAGATGGAGGTCCTTGACATATCACACAATTTTGGGAACGTCGACCACGTCCTCATCCGGAACAGCCTGTGCCACTTCGTTCGCCTCCGCAAGCTTAGCATCGCCGGCAATTGCATGCGTCAGTTTACGGACTTTCTGTTCTACGATGAAACTATAATGCGCTGGCAGCTTGAGGAACTGGACCTTTCGGACATCAAGGTTTGTTCTCTATCTGCACTAGTGAAACTACATTCTGACGAACCGATAGCTGAGCGACGAGACTACGATGATCCTTGCTGCATATCTGGAGATGCCAGAATCCAATTGGTTGAGGAGGCTTGATCTTAACAATTGCGGGCTGAGTGGCTCTATGGCGGCTACGCTGTTTAGGAGCATGGGTCAAGGCCGCGAACTGATATGCGCTATCAGTGGCAACCACCTGGAAGACGGTGGTGACGACCTCGCTAATGCTATCGGCTGCAACTTTGGCCCTCGGATGCTCTTCGTTGATATGGTGGAGTATCGCGAAGAGACCAACTTCATCAAGCTCATCCGTGCCCTGGCCGTCAACAACACGATCAACCTTCTCAGCCTTGTCGGTACCTCGACCGCCGGGCAAGTCAGCGAAGAGGCCTGCGCCGCCGTGTCCGACTTCTTTGCAACCAACACTTCTGTCTGCTTTCTTGACTTGTCCGGCTTTTCTGCTAAACTCGACGAAGGCCAGCTTGGCCTTGGCTTCTCTCGCTCCCTCGCTGGCTTGGCGCAGAACACGACCATCCACCACCTCCGCATCCGCAATCAGAAGCTCAATGTGAATATTGGCGACCTTGCATCCGCAATCGCCCGCAACGTCACATTGATGACCCTCGATGTTCAGGACAACGGCTTCAACCTCTCTAATCTGACGCACATGGCTCGCAGTCTGGAGGAGAACAAGTCGATCCAAGAGTTCCGTCCCTTTTCCGAGGCCGAGCTCAACCGTACCATCAACAGCTCAATGCAAAGGGTCATTTTGCCCTCGCACCAACCTGAGCACCACCGCCGCCGGTCTTCCAAGGCAGCCGCTGCCGCCCGCGCAGCCGACACGCTTGCCGAGGATGCCAGTAAAGCTCTTGTCCAGGAACTCCGCGGCCAGTGGACTGTAAAAATGAAACAAATTGAGTCCATTGTCGAACGCAACCGCTCACTAGTCGCTCTTGAGCAGAACGGACGCACAATGCCTGGACACGATTCTGAAACTTTTGCGGAGGATCTTGTCGCATTATTCGGCGGTCTAGCCACCATCAAGCGAGAGAGGAAGTCTTCTACGGCAGGCGCTGGGCCGCCAACGCCACCTCTGGATGCCATACACGGAGAAGAGTACACCATAGGCACAGCGCACATCACGTCACGAGGGACGAGTCTCGAGAGCCCAGCATCGGACACCCTCGGAGGAGGATCTTCAGG